GGAGCTGGGTCAGAAACAGAGCAGCTGGGACTCCAAACAGCACTTTGATATGGGATGTGGGTGCTCAAAGCAGCAGCTTAACCTGCTGCGCCACAATGCCGGCCCCTATTCAAGTTCTTTATAGCCCTGTGGTGTAATACGAAGTATATTTGGTCTTTGTTCAGCTCCTGTCTCAGCTTCTAAAAGCTTTGGCGTGTCCTGAGTGCCAGGAGGGTCTCTGTTGCTGTTCGTCCTGAGCCGCCTTTAATCCCACCTGCGTGTTTGCTGGTGCCAGGGCTCAGGCTGGAGTCCTGAAGCCTCAGGATGGGGCTGGTAACCAGCAGCACCAGGCAGTAGAGGTTAGCTCTTGGTTGGGGTCGGTGCTGAGGTGAAGCTCTGTAACATTGCCTGAACTGCTGGATTTGGTGGGTTTCTGGGCTGCTGGCACACCCAGAAGGGACCGGAAGCTGTATGGCACTTCCCCTGTGCCTTGTCTTCCGCTGGTTGCCTCTCAGTGTCCCCTGTGATACGGGTCCCATGCAGTAAATGGCATAAACAAGCATTTCCCCACTGCTGTGAGCCAGCCTTGCGAAGGTGGAGCCCTGAGGAGGAGAGGGGTCACAGCCTGCAGCTGGGGCCTGGCGTCCGCAGTGGGGACGTCTTGAGGAACAGTGCTTGAAGACTGCGGGGTTCGTGTCGGGGGTGGGGGGTAGAATGTCAGAACCGTGCTGGATTTCAGGACCCCCAGTTGGCAGCTACTGGAGACTTGCTGGGGCGGGAAGTCACTTGGGGTTCTGCAGGTGTTAAGAGTGTTCTGTGTTGGGGCTCATGTTGTGGGTAGCGCATTAAGCTGCCACCTGTGACTCTGGCATCCCATGTGGGCCTAGGCTCGAATCCCAGCTGCTCCACTTCCAATCCAGTGGATGAAGATCTCCAGCTGTTCCTTTCTCTCTGTTCCTTTCTCTCTTTCAAATAAATAAATAAATCTTTTTAAAAGATACATTTATTTATTTGAAAGGCAGAGTTATAGAGAGGCAGAGGCAGAGTGAGAGGTCGTCCATCCTCTGGTTCACTCCCCAAATGGCCACAACTGCCAGAGCTGCGCCAATCTGAAGCCAGGAGCTTCTTCTGGGTCTCCCACATGGGTGCAGGGGCCCAAGCACTTGGGCCATCTTCTACTACTTTCCCAGGCCATAGCAGAGAGCTGGATCGGAAGTGGAGCAGCTGGGACTGAAATTGGCATCCAAATGGGATGCCAGCACTGCAGGTGGTGACTTTACCTGCAGTGCCAAGCACTGGCCTCAATAAATATATCTTAAAAAAAAAAAACAAAAAGCATTCTGTGCTGAGTGTGAATGGAGAGAAACAAACTGCACTTGTTTCTTTACAACCCCTTTGCAGGTCTTTTATTCAGTGAGGCTGGGTCTCTACATTTATGCCCAAGTACTTCATATATTATTTATGTATTTGAGAGGCAGAGAGTTCACTCCTCAAATGCTGCAGTGTACCCCCAGCGGGGGACAAGACTGGGAGCAGGGACTTCAGTCCAGGTCTCCCACGTGGATGGCAGGGACTCGATCACTTGAGCTATCACCTGCTGCCTCCCAGGGTTTGTGTTAGCAGGAATGCTGGACCCAGGAGCGGAGCTGGGACCGGAACCCAGCAACTTCCTGGTGTGGGGCCCCATTGTCTTAACTGCTAGGCCGAACACTTGCTCCCCACTTTCTAAAGCAATTTTAAATGGAATCTTTCTCATTATATGGTCTAACTGGCTAACATTCTTTTACTAAAAGCTATTGATTTTTGTGTACAAATATTGTAACCACACATCTGATGATTTATATTAGTTTTTTGTCGGGGAGGGTTTAGAAATACAGACTATTGAATGAGAGCGCTGAGTCAGACGGTCCGGTTCAAAGAATGCAGGTCCCAGGGTCTGGTTTGCTGTCTTCGGTTGGTTATTTAACCTTTCTGAGCCTCCGTTTTCTTTGCTGTAAAATGGACTCATCGCAGTACCATTTGCATTCGATTGGTGGCGCATTTATTCAAGCCCATATTAACTGAGCGCCAACTGTGTCCTGTCGCTGACCTAGCCTTTGGGTTGTGGTGGTGAACAACCATGTGTGTGTGTGTGTGTGTGTGTGTGTGTGTGTGCATGCCGGGCGTTCTCCCAGGCGTTGGGATTACAGTGCTCATGGAGCCTTTCCTTCTGGTGGGTTGTGAGGACCAAATGAAATTGAGTGCATCATGTGGCATAGAGCCTGGGATCATGCAATTGGGAGTGGTTACGCCAGCCGTCCTTGCCTTCACTGACAGTCGCTTGCTTATAGTATCCTATTTTATTTTATTTTAAAAAAGATTTATTTATGGCTGGCGCCGCGGCTCACTAGGCTAATCCTCCGCCTAGCGGCGCCGGCACACCGGGTTCTAGTCCCGGTCGGGGCGCCGGATTCTGTCCCGGTTGCCCCTCTTCCAGGCCAGCCCTCTGCTGTGGCCAGGGAGTGCAGTGGAGGATGGCCCAGGTGCCTGGGCTCTGCACCCCATGGGAGACCAGGAAAAAGCACCTGGCTCCTGGCTCCTGCCATCGGAACAGCGCGGTGCGCCGGCCGCAGCACGCCGGCCGCGGCGGCCATTGGAGGGTGAACCAACGGCAAAGGAAGACCTTTCTCTCTGTCTCTCTCTCTCACTGTCCACTCTGCCTGTCAAAAAAAAAAAGATTTATTTATTTATTTGAAAGGCAGAGTTTGAGAGAGAGAGAGAGAGAGAGAGAAAGGGAGAGAGAGGGGGAGAGACAGAGACGGAAGTTTCCCATCTGCTTGTTCGCTTCCCTAATGCCAGCAACAGCAGGAACTGGGACAGGATGAAGCCCAGAGCAAGAGACTCAACCCAGGTCTCCCGTGTGGGTGGCAGGGACCTAACTGAGCCATTGCCTGCTACCTCCCACGGTGCACATTAGCTGGAAGCTGCAATTGGGAGCCAAACCAGGACAGGAACCCAGGTACTCTGATCCAAGTGATGCCTCAGCCACTCGGCCAAACGCTCGCCCCCGAGCTAACCCCGCCCTTCCTTTTGGTGTCTCCTCAGGATGTGGGCTCCCTGGATGAGAAGATGAAGAGCTTGGATGTGAACCAGGACTCGGAGCTCAAGTTCAGCGAGTACTGGAGACTGATTGGGGAGCTGGCGAAGGAAATGAGGAAGGAGAAGGCTCTGGAGATCCGGAAGAAGTAGAGCTGGCTGTCCGGGACGGGCGTGGGCAGGCAGGACCTCGATGCCCCCAATAAAGCTTCTCCCTTGGAACACACCCCACCCTGATGTCTTCTCTTGAGACCAGGGGGTGGGAAAGCTCTGCCTGGACCCCAGGCTGGGTTTGAAAACGATGAGCTCACGTCCTGCAGCATCTTGCACATAGTAGGTGCTCAGTAAATAAATGGTTGATGAATGAATACATGAGAAGTAGAGACAGACCTGGGGCAGTGATGTGGCTCCTGCCCTGCAAGGGGCCTCTGGGTGTCAACCACACAGGCTTGGCTCCCTCTTTCCTGGTTCCTGGGGTTTTTCCACTGGGTGCTAATGATAGCGGCAGTGTTAAACCCTTGACCCGTGGTATTTTAGTTAATTCTGTGAGCCCTTTGAGGTGAGTACCATTTTTAAGTCTGGTTTTACAGATGAGGAAACAAACAAAAATGAGAAATAGATTTTCGAGAGGTCACAAAGACAGGACTGGGTGGACCTGGGCTGACATGCCAGAGCCCCGGAGCCGGGATTCCCTGGGAGCCTCTCCCCCCCCGCCCCGCCCCCAGAGCAGTGGGCAGAGAGGCGCAGGGCGGGAGGCTCTGCTCAGGCACTGTGGGTGTGGTGCTGCGGGGAGCAGAGCTATGGGCCGGGGGCTGCCCTCCCTGTTCTTCCTGGATCCAGGACTTGTGGTTTGCACCTCCCGCCACCAGGGAGCACAGGGGCGGGGCTGCTGGCCAGGGCTGGCACTGCTGTGCCCACAGCTGTCCATAGCGGGGCAGCTCATGGAGGCTGAGACAAGCTCCCATTGCTCACCAGGCAAGGATCCCACATGGACGGTCGCCTCCCATCTAAGAGCTCCTAGACAGAGACGTCAGAGGCCCCTCACCCCAACCCCCAGGGCACACACACACAATGACAGTCACTACAAGGGACCCCAGGCCGAGGCAGTCACAGAAGTCCTCCGATGGAGAGACCCTCAGAAGGGTCCCCGGACAGAAGCCCTGCAGGGGACCTCTTGGAAGGAGACCCTCTTGGAAAGCCCCCTCCATTGAGACACCACGGAGGGCCCCTGAGGAGTCCTGGGAGGTGGCGCAGGGACGGCTGTTGGGAAATAAGTTCGGATTTCAGAGTTTAGAAAACAGCCCCGGGGAACTCGTGACGTCAGGATCCAGGCCCCTGAGGGCCACTTGGGTTGGTCCTAGTCCCTGGACCCGCGGTGAGGAGCCCCTGGGATGTTGTCCTGGGTAGGGACTTAGGGGTGGTGTTGCTGTGGAGCTGCCTGTGGGATTCTGAGGGAAGTGAGTGCCAAGTCTCGGCCTGGCTCCGGCTACCAGGCTGCCCTTCCTGGGCTCCCTCCTCCTGCCCTCCTTCCTCATTTTTCTCTCGGCCACCTGGACTGGCACAGGCTGGACTTGGATCTGTGCGGGCTGGAGTGTCACCATCCAACTGCCCAGCTTGGGAAGAGTGAGTGTGTGTGTGTGAGAGAGAGACTTGGAAGGCTCCAGAGGGCCGCTGGGGACCTCTTTCCTGCCCCTCACAGCCTCCGTCCTACAAGACTCACCTTAGCCCCTCTTCTTTCTTGGGTACTGACTCAGGCTGGCTCTGCTTCCCAGCCCCGCAAGGCCCCCAGGCGGATCCCATGGATCCCATAGCGTCTCCAAGCCTCCTTCCCTCCCTCCCCAGCCTTTTTGCTGATCCCAGGCCAGGGGCATCCCAGACCCAGCCCTTCATGCTCCCTCCTCCTGCCAGGGGTGGGGACAGGCCCTGGAACCTCTCTGGCCAGTGAGGGGTGGGGCTCCCACAGCTGGCTCACCGCCTGGGCGGCTGCAATGGCAGGGGTGGCTCAGAGATGAGGCCCAGCCCCCTGCCTCCCCTCCCTTCCCCCAGGTATAAGAGCTGAGCTCAGGTGAGCTGGCTCCTCCCGTCCAGTCTCAACGGCTGCCAGCAGGTAAGGAGGCCTGAGGTTTTCACTCAGAAGGGCTGCCCCTGTCCCGGGAGCACATCGAGCCTCTCCTACCCTTGGCTGCCCCCGGGAGAGCTGGGGACCGGGCTCCTGGAGGGTGGGTGCGGAGGGAGCGTGTTTCAAATACAGGTGGGTTGTTGGCAAAAGTGGAAACAGCGAGGCCAGGGCGGGGCCCAGGGGATTCCCTCTAAATGGGTTCGCCTGGGCGCTGTGCCTTTACGTCCTGGAGCCCAGGCGGGGGCTGAGCCTGTGTGGAGTGCTGTCTGAGCCTCTGGGTGAGGTGCCCCCCCTCACCTGAGGCCCCCCCCCCTCTAGGCAGATCATGAGCCATCAGCTCCTCTGGGGCACTCTGTAGGACAGCAGAACTCTCCAAGGGACCCAGCGCAGTGGGCACCATGGGCCAGTGCCGGTCAGCCAATGCCGAGGTAGGCCTGCTCACTCCCAGCCTTCCTCTTCCTGCACTGCCCTCCTGCCTCCACTGACTTCTGCCCCTTCCTCCGGCCTTGCCCTGCACCCCAGCTCTGATGCCCACACAGGGTGATGCGGATGGAGTCCTCCTGGCACTTGCTGGAACCTGCCCTGCCTGGGGGGGCTGGGGTAGTGGGAGGAGAGCCTTGCCCAACCTCTGGCTTGGGGCAGAGGCTGCTGTGGCTTGGAGGCCGGGGTGGGGGTGGGGGAGAGTGTTCTGGGCTCTGGAGTGGGCGGGCACCCCGCGTGCCTTCCAGCTATCTCCTGCCGTGCCAGGGAAGCAAGGTGTCCTAGGGTAAACTGGGTGATGTGCCCTGCCCTCAGGATGCCCAGGAATTCAGTGACGTGGAGAGGGCCATCGAGACCCTCATCAAGAACTTCCACCAGTACTCCGTGGAGGGTGGGAAGGAGACACTGACCCCCTCCGAGCTCCGGGACCTGGTCACCCAGCAGCTGCCCCACCTCATGCCGGTACTGAGGGACTGGACCCTTGCCCCAAGCCACTGCCCAAGACCCCACCCACACAGGCACTGAGGTCCTGGGCCAGCCCCTGGGGAAGGGTGGGGCCGGTGGATCTGCAGGTGCTGCCTGGCTGAGCTGTGATGTCTTCCCTCCCCAGAGCAACTGTGGGCTGGAAGAGAAGATTGCCAACCTGGGCAACTGTAACGATGCCAAACTGGAGTTCGGGAGTTTCTGGGAGCTGATTGGCGAAGCCGCCAAGAGCGTGAAGCAGGAGAGCCCCGTCCCTGGGAGTTGAGGCTATCCCCCTGGGGTGCCTGGGGGGTGTTGGGAAGAGGGGACCTCGAGACTGTGAGCCTGGGAATAAAACTTCTCTCCACCACCACCCTGTTCCCCAGCCTGCAGCGCCTCTCACCTCTGCCAGGTGTGGCTCCGCAGCAGTCTACCCCAGGAGCTCTGTGCTCTTCCCCCTGGGTGCTCCGTGGGGTGTCCACTGGCGGGAGGCATGGCTGTGGGCTGGGGCTGGAGATGGGGGGACCTTGGAGGGTGGAGAGGAGAGGGCTGCGGGACATAGTTTGGAGGCAGGGGCTGGGGCTGCGGCTGGAAAGATGGTACTGAAAAGGGTCTTTGGGAACCAACCCTCCCAACCTCTTCCCTTCCTGTCTGTCCAGTGCTGTCCCTGTCTGCCTCCAGCCCTGCCCCCACTTCCTCCCAGGGCTCCATCCCTGGGCCGGGGCAGGGGAAATGGGGAGCAGGATGGGAGGAGAGGATGAGGAGGGAGTGCCTTTGGGGTGAGAGGACTGGCTGGGTGCTTGGACATTTACGGAATGATGGTTGTTTTATATCATTTGATTAATAAAAAAATAGAAAAATTAACAAATGTTGTCTTTTTTTTAAGATTTATTTTATTTATTTGGAAGGGTTACAAAGAGACAGAGAGGTCTATCCGCTGGTTCACTTCCCAAATGGCCGCAATGGCTGGAGCTGAACCGACCCAAAGCCAGGAGCCAGGAGCTTCTTCTGGGTCTCCCACATGGGAGCAGGGGCCCAAGGACCTGGGTCATCCTCTGATGCTTTCCCAGATGCATTAGCAGGGAGCTGGATTGGAAGTGGAGCAGCCAGGATTCAAACCAGCACCCTTATGGGATGCTGGCACTGCAGGCTGGGGCTTTAACTCGCTGCACCACAGAGCTGGTCCCACAAATGCTGATTGGATGCTTCTTCCTCCAGACTCCACAGACGAGAGGGTGGCAGTGGTTTTTAGGGGCAGTGAATTAGGACTCACTTTTCACCTGTATCTGGGTTGGGGATGGTACCAGGCCTCACAGGTGGCAGAACCAGTCCTGTCCAAGGCATGGGCTGCTCTCAGCCACAGGGCTGGTCCTCTGGCAAGAACTGAGGCCTAGGGGACACACCTGGGAAGGACATGAACCCAGGTGTCTTGGCCTGGGTTTGCATCCCAGCTCTGCCACTTACGTGTCTTTGAGACTCTGGGCGTGCCCTAGGGTACCAGTTTCCTCATCTGTGAAATGGGGATATGAAGGGACTTCCTCACAGGCTGGTTAGGAGGATGAGCATGGGGCACCCTGCCCTGTGAAGAACTTAGAGAGTCTGACACACAGCTGATGCCTGTGAGTGGGGGCCAGGGAGCCCCTACTCTGGGGTCAGGGCTGCCCCAGGACAGCGGGAGGCGGAGCTGCCAGTCTCCTGGGGTACCTAGGGAAAGGGTTCCCAGAGGAGTCCTCCTTTGCGCCTGGGAGGTCTTTGTGATGGGGGTGTGTATCAGGAGAGTTTTCTGTTGGACTGGACTGGAGATGGGAGACCAGGAAGCCAGCCTCTGGGCGCTGATGACCGCCTCTGACCTGAGCCCACGGAAATCAGGCACTGCTCCTGAAATCCCAACAATGGGGAAGTTTCTGTGGCCAGTTAGGGCTGGCCTGGAATGCTAACTGCACTTGTCTGTTACCTGGCTCTCAGGGATCCAGGTGAGAAGGGCAGGTGACAGGTGACAGGTGACAGTGCTTCCCGTCCCCTCTGCACCTGGTTGCTTCTGCTCCTGCCCTGCAGAGCAAGGAGGGTGGGGTTGGGGGAGTGCCAGCTTCCACCACTCCCTCTGGGGTGGGGGTAGAGGGGTGTGATAAAAGGTGTGTATCCCTTTAACAAGGGCCCAACCCCAGGGCCAAGTCAAGAGGGAGCTCAGTCACTATCTCCCCACCGAGCCAGCTCAGCCAGGCAGGGCTGGGGAGGGAGTGGGACAGATTCTGGGAGTGCAGTGGGGAGGAGTCCTGGCTGGGCTGAGCTCGGGGAGCTGCTTGGCAGTGTCAGAGCCCAGGCCCCAGAGCCCTGCTGGAGAGGAGGTGGACAGAGGAGGCAGGTGAGCACCCCAGGCCTGCCCTGGGAGGGACCCCGCGGGCTTGGGAGGCCAGGAGAAGTGACAGTGAGGGGTTCTGGGGAGAGGGGCCTGGCCGAGGCCCGGCAGGAAGGTTTTGTTAATTATTAACTTTCCTCCAAGGCCACTCTGGGAATGGGGAGTCCCGGGGGCTGGCAGAGGCCTTCCAAGGAGTGAATAGGGTGGCAAGACCCCCTCTCGGGGCCAGCAACCGCCTGGGCTCCTCTCCAGGGGCTAGGCCACTGGGCAGAGCGTTTGGGAGCTCTGCCCGCAGCGGCTCCGTCCTCCCCAGACAGAAATGGGCAAACGCACACCGGTGGGGGGCTGAGGGGTAGCCAGGCCTTGCCGCAGGCCTCACCGTGCCCTGGGAGAGGTGATGGGGCCCGGGAGGGCCCAGGGAGGCCGAGAACGCGGGCAGCGGGGGCAGGGGCTGAGGCGGCCTCTCTTCCACCCCGCGCCCTGGGCAGGTCCCGGAAGCGGGCCCCATTGTGCTCCCGGAGCTGTTCCTTGGGAGGGACCTGGGTGAGGCCCTGGGGAAGCCTGGGAGCTCCCCAGGAGAGGGTGAGGGAGAGGGGCGGAATCTCCAGCCCTGCAGCTTCTCCAGCTTACGATCCAGGCAGGTCGTGGCTTGAAGCCTTGATTGGCAGAGGCACCAGGTGTTAGGAGGCTGCCCCTGCCCTGCAGGTTGTGGGGGTGAGGGCAGGGGGGCTGGCGAGCCGGCTGCAGCCTTTCCCCACCCACTAGTAAAGTGCTCTGTGCTGGTGAGGCCAGGGGAGCCATGTGTCTGTGTGTCTGCTCCCAACTTCTCCGACTTCACTGGTCTCAGAGAACTTTTCTGAGGATCTGGCTTCTTGATACAAAAGCAGCAGGGGGTGGGAGGTAGCTGGCTTATCCAGGGGTGGCAGCGTGTCTTGCTATGTGTGTGTGTGAGAATTAGATGCAGGGAGCCCTGTGAGGCAGGGAGGGCTGAGGCAGGTGCACCTGTGTGAACCCTGAGCCTCGTTCAAGTGGAAAGAAAGGTTGAGAGGGAGCAGGGTGCAGGGCTGCGGAGACTGGGGAGATGGGTTTGGAACAATCTTGCAAATCGAGACAGCAGTGCCAGCCCAGCTGGGATTGAGCCTCTGTGTATATCGAAGGCAGCTGGGACACACGAGTGGGTCAAGAGGGAATGACTGGCCGGTGCCGTGGCTCAATAGGCTAATCCTCCGCCTTGCGGCGCCAGCACACTGGGTTCTAGTCCCGGTCGGGGCGCCGGATTCTGTCCTGGTTGCCCCTCTTCCAGGCCAGCTCTCTGCTATGGCCCCGGGAGTGCAGTGGAGGATGGCCCAAGTGCTTGGGCCCTGCACCCGCATGGGAGACCAGGAGAAGCACCTGGCTCCTGGCTTCGGATCAGCACGATGCGCTGGCTGCAGGGCGCCGTCCGTGGCGGCCATTGGAGGGTGAACTAACGGCAAAGGAAGACCTTTCTCTCTCTCTGTCCACTCTGCCTGTCAAAAAAAAAAAAAAAAAAAAAAAAGAGGGAATGACTGAGAGAATGAATAAGTGATTCAATGAACAGACAAGCAAATGAATGATGGAGACATGAGGCAGGTGGAAGGGGCAAAGAGGATGGGCCTTTCAGCTTGGGCTCTGGAGAGAACAGAGGCTTGGGGAGAGGAGCCCATGGGCACATCCCAACACTTGGGAACAAGCAAAGACCCCAGCATGTCATGGGAAGAGAACGTCAGCTTTGCAGGGGTCAGGGGCTGGGGGCTGGAGAGGTGGGGGTGGCTAGCAAGCACTTGGAGGGGGTGGAGCTCCGCATCTGGGGGTGGGAGGGTGGGGCTCCAGTGGCTGGGATCCAGGGGCATGGTGTCAGGGCAATTTGGGCTTTTGGAGAAGTCAGCAAGCTGGGCAGAGGTGGGCGGGGTGGGGGTGAGAGCCTCCTGGTTGCTCAACGATGAATCAGCCCAGGAGAAGACAAAGAGAATATTGGGGGAGGAGCAGGGGCCAGGGCAAGAAGGCCCCTTGGAGGACACGTGGTCCCTTCGGTCTCCCTTTTTTGGAAGGCTTGGTATACACTATCCCCACTCCATCTCCCAGGCCAGTTGCAGGAACCACCTCCTGCCCAACCTTGCTAAGAAGGGGCTTCTGGGGCAGCACACCTGTGCCACCCCCATGCTGGAGCCCCATAGGCCTAGCTGGTGCGAGGACAGGCAGGCCAGAGGAGCAGGTGGCTGTGGGATGGGGAGGGTGGCAGCACCTGTCTCCTGGCTCCCAGGGGAGGGAGGGAGGAGGAGGGTAATGACACCTCATGGTCCCACTCTGATACCCTTCCTCAGAAGCCCCAGGTCCAGATGGTTATCTCCATTCCTGTCCATTTTAGAAGCAGGTGAGGAAGGGTGGGTTAGTGGGAGGAGAGCCTAGCAACCGCATGCCAGAGATGCTGACAGTGCCTGTCTGGTGACCAGCACCCCTGAGAGCAGGCGGCCGAGTCATCCCTTGGGTGCTCACCTCTGGTTGTTGCTGCCCGAGGCCGGGTAGGGGTGGGGCATGGTGTTGAGAAAGGACAGGAGGACCCTCTTCTGGCTGGAGAACCAGACTCCAAGGAGGCAGACAGCAGGAGAGTGGGCTGACCGGTGGCGACAGGCACCGAGACATCCAGTTCTTTCTCTTTCCCTGTCCCTGTCCCTGGCTGTTTGCCAAAGGATCCCTCAAGAGCGAGCGAGGTCCGAGCTGGTTAAGGGTGGGGGCTTCTCCGAGTTCTCCTCTACTGCCACTGCTGAGTTGGGAGTGGGCACACACAATCCTTCGTGGCATGGACGCAGTCTCCAGAGTGCCCAGGAAGGCTGCTCAGGGCAGCAGAGTGACAGAACATGGCTTAAAAACTTGCTCCTCATTTGTGAACCTAAGAGTGTGTGACCAGCTGACCAAACTTCCAGCAGGCAACCATGCAGTGATGCACGCAAATAATGAGTATGGGAAAGAGGATGGTTTCCTGTAGTTCCGGCACCAGCCTCATCCTTCCAGCCACAGACCAGAGTGGTCAGGGAGGGAGGGGGGGGGCAGGACTTCCCGCCAGAGCCCCCTCCCTCCCAACTCCCCTTCTTGCTTGCAGCCTGGCTTCCTCCCCCTCCCCCAGTCTCAGTCTTCCACCAGAAAAGGCTTCATTAAAGAAAAGGCTCAGCAAGGTGGTCATGGGCCTTGGCTACCTGGGTGTCAGGGTTGCAAGGAAGCGGAGTATTCATAGAATATCCACCATGAGCAAGGCCCTGGGCCAGGCTGTGTGGCCACCAGGCCGTGTGGCCGAGGAGAGATGCACGGATTAAAAGCAGGGCGGTGCTTGTGTATCCAGGGTTTTAAAAACAGTTGTCACCAAGTCTGCGTGTCCTGCCATGTGGCTGAGAAAATACAGCAGCTGAGTGTAAAAAAACACTATGCTTGGCTCAAGGAATGAGACAAGACCCAGAGACTGCGGCCACACCAGTGGTGTGGTGCTGGCGGGGCATGCAGACACTGGGCCTGTGGGAGTCAGGGGGCTCGGGTGCCCAGGGCAGGATCCAGGCAGGGTCCAGGCAGGGCCGAGTGCTGGGCAGGCATCCACTGGGGAGAGAGGCCAGGGTGCTGGGCACGATGGCTGGGGCCTACTCAGGCCCACACGGTGGCTCTGTCCCTGTTGTGTCCGCCTCCTCTGGCCAGGACCAGCTGGCGAGGGCAGCTGGAACTCATTCCTGGGCCTGGGGGTGGGAGGGGAGTCTGATTTGCCCGAGGTTGACTTGGGGGGGCTCTGGGCATGGGCGGCGACTCACAGACTGTATCCGCCTGCTCCCCTCATATCCTGTTATTGAGAGGGCTGGCTGTATCCGCTGGGCTGTGAGCGCCTTTGTCCTGGGGTGAGGGGGTGACGCATGTGGCCTCTGCTTTGGCAGCTGCTGCTGTGTCCAGGGGCTGGCAGCAGCTGGGGCAGAACGGGGCTGCGTTCCTGCTTAGGTAAGGGCATGGGGGCTGCCCACGGGTCCCCCTGTATATTTAGGGGTAGGGACGAGGGAGGAGAGGCTGGCAGGGTATGGCGGGTGGGGTGTGGCACAAAAATATGGTAGGATAAGGCCGGCGCCGCGGCTCACTAGGCTAATCCTCCGCCTAGCGGCGCCGGCACACCGGGTTCTAGTCCCGGTTGGGGCGCCGGATTCTGTCCCGGTTGCCCCTCTTCCAGGCCAGCCCTCTGCTGTGGCCAGGGAGTGCAGTGGAGGATGGCCCAGGTGCTTGGGCCCTGCACCCCATGGGAGACCGGGAAAAGCACCTGGCTCCTGGCTCCTGCCATCGGATCAGTGCGGTGCGCCGGCCGCAGCGCGCCGGCCGCGGCGGCCATTGGAGGGTGAACCAACGGCAAAAGGAAGACCTTTCTCTCTGTCTCTCTCTCTCACTGTCCACTCTGCCTGTCAAAAAAAAAAAAAAAAAAAATGGTAGGATGAATTAGAACTTTGTCCTTTTTCAGAGAGGGACAGGGGGCAGCTGTGGCTTGAGACCCTGGACTCACTTGTCTGGGAACCTAGAGCCCAGGACCCTGCCTCCCACGGTGTTGCCTGGAGCTGGGGTCCCCTCTGGTCCTGAGGGCGCGGAGCACCCCTCCCCCCCCTTGGCTTCTCTCAGCAGATCCTGCCTACGCTTGCCCTCAGGGCGGGGGCTTTGGGGGGCCAGGTGCGGAGCAGGGGGTAGGGGTGGGCAATGACTCCTTCCTCCTCTTCCCAGCTCCAGCTCTCACCAGGGCTCTACCGAGCCTGGTGCCTGCGGCTGGGGAAGGGCTGTGGAACCTGCTGAGGCAGTCCAGCTGGAGCACCTGCCTTAGCCGAGCCAAAATAGTTCTCATTCCAGGGCCCACCCCTGTGTGCCCCGACCCCTGCCTCCTCCCTTCTCCGGAGGACCAGCCGGCCTGGGGTGGTGCTGGTGGGGGAGAGGGGGAGGGTCCAGGGCACCAGGTGGGCACGGGGTTGGGGGAGGTTAGTCTTCTCACCTCCCCCGCTCCTGTTGCTGCCCAGGCCCTGCGGGAGGTGAGCCAGCGCCATGGCTGAAGACGGCTACACAGAGCTGGAGAAGGCTGTAGTGGTCCTGGTGGAAAACTTTTACAAATACGTGTCCAAGAACAGCCTGGTCAAGAACAAGATCAGCAAGAGCAGCTTCCGCAAGATGCTGCAGAAGGAGCTGAACCACATGCTGACGGTGCGTCCCCCACCCAGGCAGGCCCGCCTCGCTCCCGCGCCCTCCCTCCGCGCCTCACCTGAGGCCAAGGCCCTTGCAGAGCTACCCCCAGCCCAGGCGCTCAGAACCTGCGCCCTCCCTCAGCGGGCCTTTTCCAAGGACGGGTCCTGGCCTCAGCGCAGGGTCTGTGTGGGCTCTCTCCAGGGCTACCGCCGTCAACGTGGCTAATTCTGCTTCCTCCCCAGGACACAGGGAACCGGAAGGCCGCCGACAAGCTCATCCAGAACCTGGACGCCAACCACGACGGGCGCATCAGCTTCGATGAGTACTGGACCTTAATAGGCGGCATCACGTGCCCCATCGCCAACCTCATCCGCCAGCAGGAGCAGCAGTGCAGCCCCTAGGGGAGCCCCGCCAGCCCCGCGAGGCACCGCCCCAAGCCCCGCCCCGTGCCCCTCCCAGGGCCCTCAGCCCCCTACCCCTCACCCTTCTCCGCATCCTTGCTGAACGCGGTGGAGCGGGGATGTCAGGACCCCCCTGTGAGTGTCTCAGCCTGGGGATGCCTCCCCAGGGGGTCTCCGGTCTTCGTCCCTGGAGCCAGCAGGCCCCAGGTGCCTCTCAGTGAGCTCTCAATGCTGTCTGGGGACCCCAAGGGTTTCCTGACCTCCTAAGCCCACCCGTCCTCCGGCGTCTGACTCCTGGTCTGGCGTGACCGCCAGAGGTCAGCTGGCTGGCCGACGTGTCCCTTCCGCTGGTGGCAGCGGCGGCAGTCGGAGCCACCTCTCCCCGTCCCGTGAGCCCTCCTGGGTAGAGAAGCACTTCCGGGGCTCCCCTCCAGCGGCCTCGGCATCTGAGAAAGAGCCAAGCAGTGCAAGCCTCCGCCTCTGCGCAGCCACCAGATGATGGAAATAAAGGCTAGGTTTGGAGTTTGTATCTCCCGCACCTGGTCCGTTTGTGATGCTCATTAAAACCCTCCCACCTCTCCTGAACATGGTGGTCTCTGCCCTGGGCCCCAAAACAAGGTTGGGGGGGAGCAGATCTCACAGAGAAATCCCAAAGGGAGAGCAAGAAGGAAACCAGGGGCTCCTGGACCCCAGCAGGCGCTGTCGGCCCTGGGGGCAGCTCCCTGTCTCCTGCTCCATGACGTCACCCGCTCTAGTCCCTCCCAGCCCAGTCTCAGATTCACCCTCACCTTTTAGGTGCACCTGAGGTCTCCTTTCACCCTTACTGCCATTCAGTGAGAGAGGGACCCTGAGTCATGAATTCTCATCCAGAGATTCTTCCAATACACGGAGGATATGTGGGGTGGAGAAGCAGGGGTGCGAGGGAGGAGGGATATGGGAAGCCAAGACCTGTAGCTTCTGGAGGGGTGGCTGCCAGTTTCTCTGTTTCTTCCCTGCTCCTGCAGCCAGGGAGGTCCCAGCCTGCAGAGCGTGGGATCGGTGGTTTCCAATTGAAGGCAGTGCGCCCCAAGGTTTAAGGTCTCCTCAAACGTGCACTGACATGGTTTTACTGGGATCCACTCAGGCCCCCAGCCTTGTGAAGCTGCTCTGTCCCAGAACGACTGGCAGCCCAGGTGTCAAGGGGGCCTCCTTCCCCACTGCCTCTCTCAGTCACCCTCCTTAATTAAGGACTAAGGGCATGCGCTTTACCTGTGCAGAAAGTTTCTCTGCTGCCTTGACTAGTGGTGCAGATGAACACAATTCAGGAGGTGGTATTCTTATCTTCTACTTATCTCTCCACTCACCTACCATTCACCTATCCATCCATCTATTCATGGATGGATCAGTTCATCCATCTATTCATCTGTGGATCAATCTTCTATCTATTATATATATTCATCCACCCATTATCCTTTATCTATCAATATCTACCAATCATCTATTATATATCAATATATTATCTATCCATTCATCTACCAATTATCTATCAATCCCCTATCATCTGTCTATCCACCCATTCATCTATCCATCCATGTATCATCTATTAATCATTTATCCATCCTTCCATCCATCCATATATTATCTATCAATTATCTTTCATCTGTCTATCCACCCATTCACCATCTATCTATCTATATCTATCATAGGGAAAACACGTGACACAAATCTCCCCTCTTGAAGTGTACATTACAGTGTTGCACATCAGGTCTCTATAGCTTTCTCATCTTGCATGACTGTAACTCAACAGCCATTGAACACCTCTGCTTCCCCCTCACCCAGTAACCACTGTTTTAATAAGTTTCATTATTTTAGACATCTCTATCTCATCTAAGTGGAATTGACCATATTTGTCTTTTTGTGATTGGCTTAGCTCACTTAGCATAAAGGCATAATGTCCTCAAAGTTTATCTAAGTTAGCCGGCGCCGTGGCTCAATAGGCTAATCCTCCACCTTGCGGCGCCGGCACACCGGGTTCTAGTCCCGGTTGGGGTGCCGGATTCTGTCCCGGTTGCCCCTCTTCCAGGCCAGCTCTCTGCTATGGCCAGGGAGTGCAGTGGAGGATGGCCCAGGTGCTTGGGCCCTGCACCCCATGGGAGACCAGGAAAAGCACCTGGCTCCTGGCTCCTGCCATCGGATCAGCGCGGTGCGCCGGCTGCAGCGGCGGCCATTGGAGGGTGAACCAGCGGCAAAGGAAGACCTTTCTCTCTCTGTCTCTCTCTCACTGTCCACTCTGCCTGTCAAAAAAAAAAAAAAAAAAAAAGTTTATCTAAGTTGTAGTATATGACAGGGTTTTTTTTTGTTGTTGTTGTTTAAGATTATTTTATTTATTTGTCAGAATTACAAAGAGAGGGAGGATCAGAGAGAAAGAGCCATCATCCAACCACTGGTTCACTCCCCAGATGGCTGCAACAGTCAAGGCTGGGCCAAGCCGAAGCCCAGAGCCAGGAATTCCATCTGGGTTTCCCACATGGGTGGCAGTGTTCCAAGTACCTGGGCCATCTTCCTCTACCTTCCCAGGTACATTAGCAGGGGGCTGAATGGGAAAAGGGGCAGCTGGGACTTGAACCGGTACACATCTGAGATGCTGGCATTGCAGGCGGTGGCTTAACCCATTGTGCCACAACATTGGCCCTCCCCTTTTTGTTAAAAGAAAAAAGGCTAAATAATTCTCTGTTTTATATTAGCTATCTGTGTCTACTACATATACACATACTAACACATTTTCTTTATCTGTTCAACTGCAGATAGACATTTAAGCTATTTCTACATCCAGGCTATTGTGAATAATCCTGAAATGAACATGGATTTGCAAACATCCCTTCAAGGTCTTTTTCTTTCTTTTTTTTTTTTTTTAAAGGCAGAGTGGATAGTGAGAGAGAGAGAGAGAGAAAGGTCTTCCTTTTGCCGTTGGTTCACCCTCCAATGGCCGCTGCGGCCGGCGCGATGCGGCCAGGGCACCGCGCTGATCCGATGGCAGGAGCCAGGTGCTTCTCCTGGTCTCCCATGCGGGTGCAGGGCCCAAGCACTTGGGCCATCCTCCACTGCACTCCCTGGCTACAGCAGAGAGCTGGCCTGGAAGAGGGGCAACTGGGACAGAATCTGGCACCCCGACCGGGACTAGAACCCAGTGTGCTGGCGCCGCAAGGCGGAGGATTAGCCTGTTGAGCTGCGGCGCCGGCCTTTTTTTTTTTTTTTTTTTTTTTTTGATTTATTTATTTGTTTGAAGGGCAGAGTTACAGAGAGAGAGAGAGAGAGAGAGAGAGAGAGGTTTTTCTAGCCATTGGTTCATTCCCCAAATGGCCACAATGGCCGGAGCTGGGTCAATCTGAAGTTTCTCACGCTGGTGCAGGGGCCCAGGGACCTGGGCCATCCTCTACTGCCTTCCCAGGCCACAGCAGAGAGCTGGCTTGGAAGTGAAGCAGCTGGGACGTGAACTGGGGCCCACATGGGATGCCGGCCCTGCAGGTGTTGGCTTTACCTGCTAAGCCACAGCGCCAGCCCCGAGATCCTGTTTTTCATTCCTTTGAATATAAAGCATACTCAGAATTCAGATTGTGGAATAACAGGTAGATCCATTTTTAATTAATTTTTTTAAAAAATTATTTTTATTTTATTTGAAAGAGAGACAGAGAGATCTTCCATCTGCTGGTTCACTCCCCAAATGCCTGCAATAACCAGGGCTGAGACAGGCCAAAGCCAGGAGCCCAGAACTCAGTCTGGGTTTTCTACGTTGGTGGCAGGGACTCAGCTACTTGAGCCATTACATACAGCTTCCCAGGATTGCGCTAGCAGGAAGCTGGATCAGAAGTGGAGGAGCTGGGACCTGAACCAGGCACTCCAACATGGAAGGCAGGGATCCCAAGTGATGACCAGTCTTGCCTTACTTTAAATTTTTTAATTTTAAAAAATGTATGTATTTGAAAGGTGGGGGAAGGGGGAAATGGGGGAGGGAAAAGGGGGGAGGAGAGAGAGAGAGAGAGAGAAACATGAGAAAAACTCCTGTTCTTTGGTTCATACCCCAATTGCCCACAGTGGACAAGGTTGGTGGGACCTGAAGCTGGGGTCTAGGAGCTCAGTGCAGGCCTCCCACAAGGGTGACAGGAACTCAGTTACTGGGGCCATCACTGCTGCTTTCCAGGGTCTGCATTAGCAGGAAGCTGGAGCCGGGAGTTGGAGCTGGGTGTGAAACCCAGATACTCCACTGTGGGGTGTGGGTGTATCAGTCGGCCTCTTAACCCCCAGGTCAGAGGCCCACCCCCATCTTTAACCTCTTCAGAAACCTCCGTAGTGTTTTTGTGGCAGCTCCAGCATTTGACAATCCTGTCAACAGGGCTGAAGGTTCCAGTTTTCCCATGTCCTTAACAGTCCTCCTAGAGTTTTCTGGGTTGTGATGGAATGAGAAGGCCGTGCCAAGATGGCCGCTGGCAAGCCAGCCTCAGTTACTCAGAAAATGGCTTCGGAACCCACCTGGCAACAGAGCCTGCCTGGCAGCAGGCAGTGATTGGTTACGGCATAACCCACCCCTTGACCGGCTTGGCTGCCTTGGCTATATAAGCTGCTGTACCAACTGAGGCTGCTCGCCTCTGGCCGGCTTTCACCCGACTCCCAGGGTCTGTGTGGTGACTCCGTGCCTCTTTCCCCCACCTCTTTCCCCCACCGCGGTTCTCTCAGAATGAATCCACAACAACACTGGGTTTTGCTTTGACAATGTCCATCCCAATGGGTCTGAGTGATATCTTGTTTGATAGGAATTTGGTGAGACAACCAAGGTTGGTTAGCAGCAGTTCATTGCAAAGTTTTGTTTTATAAAGGAAGGACTGTGCCTTTAAGAAGCAACAGCTAAGCCCCCTTCATGCCGCTCTGGCTGGAGGTCTTTGACCCTAATAAATCTTTGTAAATCTCAAAAACAAAACAAAACAAAACAAACAAACAAAAAACCCAAAAAACAACACAGCTGTTGCACAGAAGTTTTTAAGTTTGATATAGTTGCATTTGTTTATTTTTGCTTTTGGTGTCATATGCAAGAAATCATTGCCAAGATCAATTTTTTTTGAGGCGTTTTATAGTTTTAGGTCTTACATTTAGGTTGTGAGATGAAGGTCTAGATTCTTCCACACATGGATATCCAGTTTTCCAAATGCCATTTGTTTAAGAGTCTGTTCTTTCCCTATTGTGTAGTCTTGGCACCCTGTGGCCATATTCATTTCACCATACTCATTAGAGTTACTTCTGTGCTGCCTATTCTGTCCATTGGTTTATATGTTTGTCTTTGTGCCAATGCCATACTATTTTGACTAATGTAGCTTTGTAGTATGTTTTTTTTTTTTTAAAGATTTATTTATTTACTTGAGAGGTAGAGTTAACAGACAGAGACAGGGAAAGAGAGAGAGAGAGAGAGAGAGAGAGAGAGAGAGAGAGAGGTCTTCCAATGTTGGTTCTCTCCCCAAATGGCTGCTATGGCCCGGGCAGGGCCAGTGTGAAGCCAGGAGCCAGGAGCTTCTCTT